ACACACACACACACACACACACGAGTTAATATTAGCTTTCTTTATAATTATTGGATAACATTTCATTATGTATCATATGTTCTACCAACGAAGTATAGTTTTTATTGTCACAGGACTATGGTTTATAAATATACATATGTTGAAGGGTAACCTTGCATCCTCCAGTAGCCACCACGAACAGCGCTCCACCTCCACAGCAGATCAGTCCAGGCTGCTGCTCCACCTGAGAGGGAAGGTGGATGAGTTAAGACCTGATACAGACACAAAACAGCAGAATTTGGATAATTAGCTTTTTTCGTTCTGAATCAGTAAGTATCAGACCGCATCAACCTACCTGTACTATCTGCTGTGAGGAGAAAGGATGGCAGTTGTAGACGTGCACCATGTTTGGTCCGCGTCTTGGAGAGAGGCTTTATTCAAAGATGGAAATTTAACTGACTGCTGCTTCCTCTTTTGTTTGGGTTTCTTGAAGGCCTCATCAAGCACGACACCTGCAATCATTAAAAAAAACATCCACATGTAGGCTTGTGGTTTTCTGACATTCTACTTGAGATGCGTTCACATGTTACAGGCACATTGGATTTTCAGATATCCCATTTGGATTGCAAGACACGTGAAAACATCCATTTAATGTAATGTAGCTGCTGGTCGACTAATCGATGAACAGAAAATATCAGATGCGAGTTTTTTTGCTGCTTTCCTTGGTCATATATGACAGCAAATTTAATATATTTGGATTTTGGACTGTTGGTTAAACAAAACACATCACTGTGGACTTGGAGAAATTGTAAATAGTATTTTGCTTCACTAACATATTAACATATTTTTGATGGACTAAACAATTAATCAAGAACTTTAACCTGCATCACATGTAATAATACAGCATTTCACATGTGATGAATTCACAAATACATTGCCATTATGGTTTTCAGACACTTACATAGACATTACATGACCAGTACAATAAAAGGTAAATGTGGTGCTTAAAACACTTTAAAACCAAAATACCTAAATCAACTATATAAAACGAGCAAAACATGCAACATGACCAACCACGAACTTAGCTTAAATGTTGAATTCAGCTTCCCCTGCATCTCTGGCAGTCGGACTGAAACAGGGCTGCAGAGTGTATTTATCTAATCGGCATCACATGCCGCAGTCTTGTGAGCAGCAGAGGGTGTGCACATTAAATTCAGATGAACACGTTTCCTCTTCGGTTTACTCGCACTGTAGTTACAGACGGGCTAAACTTAGAGAGTCTTTAGAAAGTGAAGGAAGAAAGTGACAGACTCTCTGTTTAGTACCTACTTTGCTGCCATGTCCTTAGTTTCTTCTCTTTTCCTCCTAGTGTAGAGTATTCACGGCTGCTGCAGCTTATTGATTTCACGCTGTCAAGCAGGAAGTGAACAGTCAACCACAACAACAAGCGCCCGCCCACTCTCCACTTTCATTGGCTCACGTTCCTGCTTGCCACCGAGCTGTCACAATCGAAAGCGTGGATCCGCCTCTGTTATGAAGTTGTTGTTTTGTTTTGTTTGTCTGTGTATTGTCTCATCAATTCATGGCTTTGTAAACACTATAGGGTTCAGTACTGTTGTCAATTTTAAAATATCGTTATATTTTATTAAAAGTTCGAAGTAAAGATCATTTCGAATATCAATTCAATAAGCGGTGATATTAAACTGCATACTTCCTGTATACAGGACAATCAATTACAAAGTTGCCTCTTCCTAAGCAGGCTACTACTTTTGCTTTGAAAAAAATATTGAAATAAAACAATCATCTAAGGAATATAACTATAGAGTATTAAAATAGAGAAAAAATAACAATTCCTAAAAACTAAATAATATAACTGTCCAAAGAATAGTACTGCAATTAATAATAATGCTACTATACCAGATTTACACATCACCCCGTATTTACTACAGTTGAGCGTTAAACCCTTTCAGATTGCCTAATTTTGAAAAAATGACGTGACCCGAATATAGACGTGTTATGTCCTGAGCCGGCCACCGTTGCTGCTGTAATAATCCTGAGTCGGACACATCCGCTCTGTCATAACCACTATCGAACATGGATTTATGTGTAGTAAGTATAATCAATGAGTCAACGTGTGTAATTTAATTTGTATACATGCATAACATCATATATACATGGTTGAATATTATAACATAAACCTTGATAGAAGAGAGCACTCTGACCACACTTACTAACTAACTTCCCCTTAAGTAACGAGTGCATCAAGTAACGTAACAGCTATCGCGTAGTTACCGTTAGCTAGCTAGCTATCGCTTTAGCTGCAACTGGCTCGTCTTGAAGCTAGCTTAGTCTGTTCCCCGCTGCGTTGGGACCCTTCTTATGAACAGTCTATGGTTAGGACAGAGGAGACGAGATATCTGTGAAAGAGTTGAGCACTCAGAGAAGACTAACAGGGCCGTACTAACGTTAACCACGGACTCAGGGCAAACAAACAAACAAAGCCGGTGTTTCTCCCACGTTCTGTGTAATATATGTAGGTGATGTGTTAGTAAGCACAAATGTATTTAAATAAGTGTAGGTGAAATGATAGTAATCATAGATGAACTTCATGCACTGAGTGAGTGTGAGAATGAATGTGACAGTGCACATGTGTGTGTGAAAACAAGAAGCTACTTTATCATCTAAGTGGTGGATGTATTTAACTAAATCATGGATGTATTCATGTGTTTGTCGTTCAGCTCTGTTTGGTGATGCTTGAGAAGATAGGCTGAACGAGAAAGAACAAAAGAAAAAGTGCAGAGGAAGGAAAGGACGCAGAAAGGAGACAAATCTAAAAGAAAGGTAGGTACGGTCTTTTAAATATGTCTTAATTTGTGTATTTATCTTCATAGGAGCCACTTGATTTTGAAAGAAAAGGCTGATGTTTTTGTTTATGTAGTAAATAATCAGTAATCAGAATGTTGACGTGACATGAATTGTACTATTACTAATTTCTTGTAATATGCAGAAGATGCCCAATATCCGGCAGCTGAGGAAGAGAGAGAGTAAGAGGCCCAGATGGACCAAAGAAGCCATGGGGCAGGCCATGCAGGAGGTGCAGGCAGGCAGGCAAACTCTAAGGCGTGCAGCCAAGCAATTTGGAGTCCCAAAGTCTAGCCTGTCAGACCGAATCAGTGGACGTGTAGCCACTGATTGCATCTATGGCCAAAGCCAGCTTCTCACCCCTGAAGATGAGAATTCGCTGGTGGAGTATTGTTTGTACTCTGCCAGTCACGGGTGTCCTCAAAGAAAGTATCAGGTTGTGGCCCAAGCTCTGGCCATTTATAATTATCGTAATCCGCACAAACCCAGGTCTGTTCTCGGCCAAACCTGGTGGATTAATTTCAAGGAGCGGAACCACCATCGCCTTACCTCCCAGACCCCAGACATTATTGACCACGGTAATAAACCACGCACAAACAAAAGGGGTTCAGTCAAAGACATCCCCCTTTCCCGGTTACCCCCGCATGAGAGTCCGCCTTCCTCTCCATCATCCGATCCCTACCTCACCCATCCGCTGGTAGCATCAGGGCACATAACTGTGGAACTGGCCCATGTCTTGTCCAAAACCAACCAAACCTGTGAAACCCGAAAGGTCAGGGGAAGTGCCTACGTGCTGACAGCACAGGAAATGTCAGATGTCATCAAGAAGGTGGAGGAGAGTGCAGCAAGAGTGGAGGCCAGAAGTGTGAAGCGACAGGGGGCGGAAGACACCGAACTGGCAGTCTCTTCCTCTACCTTACCCGGTGGCTCTCGTCTCGGCCGCAAAAGACGCCTTCCCTCTGGGGCCCATCCAGACACCAGTTGCGGTGCTGCTGGCCCCTCAGCCCTCTTTGTTCCCACTTGTGCATCCCACAGCGCCTCAATCAGCCCCAGCAGCACACCAACCAACACCAGCTTGTCTTCCAATGACCGGCATCATAAAATTGTAGAAGGTAAAGTTTCATTTTTGACATGCACATATGAATATATGCACAAACATTATTCAGAATTATTATTTTAATGTTTAACATGATTCTGTAGAACATACAGCAAGTCCCAAGCTCCTTCCTCGGCCTCTCGTTAGAAATACTTGATATAATCTGTAAAAACTATGTAAAATACATTCAACAACATTTTAATATGTTGGTAACTTGAGCTATTATAAAAACAAACGTTTCAAGACAGCTAAGTCATGTGTTTTCAAATGCACAGCTTCCAACCTGTGGCAGACCTCCTCCATGCCTCTAGGTCCCCTGTTTCCTGGCTCCTCCTCCTCAACTGCTGAACCCACAACATCCACTGGTACGCCGAACGGTCTTAACTTGTAAAACACCCATGAAAATTTGGCAATTTCCTCACACGTGTTCTGTTTTTTTTTCTTTTCCCCCCTCTGAGTAGGTCACATAGCTGCAAAGAAGAAAAAATGTGAAAAGAAGATTTTGCGATGCGGACGGTGCAGACAGCCTTATCCTCCAAAGGATCCAGAAGGATTGGTTTTGTGGGTTCAATGTGACAACTGCCACAAGATGTTTCACACCATTTGTGTGAGCACAGAGATGGACTTGGACGACGATGAATTTTGGTGTTTTTGGTGTCTTGATGTTTGATTTTAGTGTGATTTATCATGGCTCGTGATAAATTCACTTTCATTTTTGAATTCATTTTCATTTTGGATTTATTTTCAATTCATTTTCAATTTACAATTTTACAACACTGACATTAAAAACAGTAAGGGTTAGAGACTGCTGTATTTGCAGATTGCAAATTGTAGTAACATCTTGCCGTGCATTATGAGTGCAAATGCATGTTTTGCAGAACACACAGTTTGAAATAAGGGGAGCATTTGCACAGGCCCCAGCTGGTGTTGGTATGCACTGAAAATTGGAAAATTCTGAGCCTTTATATGATCTGCAATGTATGTCTTAACATCAGAAAGGTGCAATTTTACATTAAATTGACTCAGTTTCTGAAAAATACCACATGGGGGCAGTAGTTTACATACAAGGAAGTCAGTCATGGACATGATAAAATGTATTTGCAAATGTTATGTGTGTCAGGCTTACTGCAATAAAGATGTTATAAAAATGTTTGTGACTCCAAAACATATTTACATGCTCAGAGACATTTTCAGAGAAATGTTGGTGCTTTTGGTGCATTAAATGCAGGGCATAGAGACTCACTCTCTCTCTCTCTCTCTCTCTCTCTCTCTCTCTCTCTCTCTCTCTCAGCTCAGACAATCTATCCTCAGCTGGTGGTGTCCACACTGCATGCAGCAGTCCGCTGCACCGCCTCTGTGTTTTTGTTGCTCTGCAACTTTCGCAAGGTAAGACATCTTTCATCTTCAATGATTTTGGTTTATGAACATTTGCTGGTGAAAGAAACGCAGCAGCGTTTCAAAACATTGGAGATGCAGCCTGCCTTGCACCTGGCAGGACGCACGTTTATATGATGCACTTGACTTGCAACTTGAATATAATTTGGTGCAGTTCCAATCAGGCAAAGAAGAAACAGCGAGGGAAATTAAACAAGCAGTTTTGCAAGAGTATTAGTCTGAGCGGGGGACCCCTTATACCACGTTAGACCTCCTTCAGATAAACAGATGCTGAGCTGTTTGAAGGTCTACAGTTTGTGCAGAAGCCAGGCAGTTCCCCGAAGGAATGCCCTTACCTCAGAGCTGAGTCATCCAAATTATACCTCCCTTCTCCCATCTCTCAGCTGTGACCACCAGGCCACCATCATTTCATCTCCAACACAATTTACATTTCATAAAAAAGTGAGTTCTTTTCCAGCATAGATTCTTAAAATGCAACAGGAGTAGAGGAAATAACCAAACTCATTAAATATTTCATTAAACTTCCAAAGAAAGATGGATTTTCATCCCACTGGTAAGATTTTACCAATTTTTGAAGACGCATTAAGTAAAACAGATTCCATACGAGTGATGACGAGTTGCAACTGTTTCTCTGCATATCCAACGTGTTATGTTTTATAGGCCAACAAACAGTGATGTGGAAACATGTTGGCTCACAGCCCCCAAGATATTTTGGAGATCCAAGCAGCGCGCTACGCCACTTTTTAGGATTAAATACATCTTTTCTTTATTGATGCACAAATCAATTATACTAATTAGTGTGTGACTAGTGATTTAAATAATATGAGGGTTTATTCCCTCAAGGACACAGTGCAGGAGAAGAATGTTGACTAGAACATTTATTTTATGGGGCCACTGCCAAAGTATTTCCCTGTTACCCTCGGGGCTTGTAAAAGAAATACAGAGACACTTGTATTTAAATACCCAATAAAGGAAGGAAAAGTAGCCTCTGAGAGAACATTTGAATCAGTTTTTGGATCAGAGAAAAACTTTAAATGAAATGCAAACCAGAGGCACAAACCAAAACCAAGTAAAAACTGCCAGTATCGTGGTGCAGTGTGATAATAGCCCCTCTGCTGTAGCACATGCACAGTGAAAGTCATCTAGCATTTCACACAAATAAGATGTTTGCTGCTGTGTTGCTACTTAGCTGCAAGCACAGCCATGCTTGATATGCACCTGTGTGTGTGTGTGTGTGTGTGTGTGCGGCTCTTTATTAGACTCTCTGAGAAGAGATTGCAGAGGAAATGGATAGACATACAAAGGGAAGATGGAAGTAAGGACAAAAAGAGACAGAAAGGATGCATGCAAGCGCAGAAATGAAGGAGAGGAGTAAGGAGGTGACAGCACACGGAGTAGTAAGGTGGTGAAAGGTGACGCGGTCAGCAGAGGAGGAGAAGATTGAAACCATAAAAGAAAAGAGAGGGAAAAAAAGTTTAGAAGAGAAACTGCGAAGAAACAAAGAAGACAAGTTTTGAGGATTCGAGGAGAGAAAAGAAAAGGGGTGATGTTTTTAATCAGCGCTAAGATTACTGCCTCCTACTTATTCAGTGTCTAGCCTGATCCTGACATATGATCCTCTGTCATATTCCAGCTGCTTCTATTGCTGCTGAAACCTACAGGTAAACATATTCAGACAGCTTCAGACATGTTCTCAAGGCAAGAACACAACCACAGGAGAATTAAATGATATTCCACCTCTGTCGAATGTTTATATTCACACTTCAGAAGTAGTTCAGTGAAGGTCATGGAGCATCTCATAACCAGAACACAGAATAATACTGAACAACAACAATAGGTGTTGTTGGATTTTACACGTTAGTTTGGTGTGATAATATACCTTAATGCCGGGCTAAGCTGTGTGCCAAGTATTTGTTTTTTTCTCCTGAATTTAGAGTCAGCGATGGTTGACGATTAGACTTGATGTCTGTGTGTAGGGATACATTGTAAACTGTCAAGAGGCCACGTGTCCTTTAAAAAGTACACACTGACTTCTGGGCAACGAGTCAATATTAGTAATTTATCAACTTTTGGAGGTGTCTTGGTGATATGGTAACTTTGTTTTTCTTATACAAAAGTTTTTATGAATTCATGCAACATGATTAAAAACTAAGGACTTGTCTTTTGTTTGTTTGTTTTTTTCTGTTAAAGGCGCAGTGCATACTTTCTGACATAGTTCATGTTGTGAAATTCTAGTTTGATTGTTTTATGTGATTTTTGAACAGCCACATATCATATTCTGAAAAATGTGAACATAATGATATTGAGCTCAAAACTGTCCTGCTCTAATATTGTGCTATTGGCGGTGGAATCATTGCGAGCTAGTAACAGGTTGTGCTTTGCTTCTTTAATTGTGTACGTATGGCAGGTATTGAACGAGAAATATGAACTGAACTTTGTTTGTTGCACTGACGTCGGTTGTATTGTCATGTGTCCTTTTTAGTCATTGGACAAATGGGAAGCCAACTTACTGTACCTGCAGCCTAGATTATTAGCACAGTGGCCTGAAACTGGAACTCAGTGACAAAGTCTCATCTTCTCTGCGTGGTGTCCTTCATTTGAAATAATCAAACATTGAGCTCCCCGACTCAATAACAGGAGCCTTGAATTGCCTTGGCAGTGATGCTGATGTTATTTTTGCAGCTCAATTGAATTGGTTGGATTGTGTCAGTCTAATGTGATTGGCAAAACGCATGCCCTTGGGCTATAGAAGGCAGCCAATACGGACATTGGAGAGTGACTCTCCTCTAATGCTGTCATGGCTGCTCCGGACATTGAGTTTGATATTTGCTATAGTTGCTTTGGTGTATGTTGAGTGTTTGTCAAATAGCCAGGCCTGTTTAGATCATTCAGTGAGTAGGATGCTGGGATAGGTCAATTTATTTATATTCTACAGTACAATGGGCACTGTGACCGTGCTCCAGAGAAATGTGGTCATGGGAAAAAGCTGAGGTCAAACTAACAGGCAGAGGATGTTGGATTGGACCGGAAGAAGAACCCCCGAGGGACGAGAGTACGGGTTCAGTTTTCTGTATGGGGAACTTGTTCGCTGGATCAACTGGGAATACTTTTCCTCAGTGCTCACGTCTTTTCTACTCATCAGTAGAACGAACCTCTAGAACCTCTTCTCTTCTCCCTTGCCCTGTCAGCACTATTGGGAATGTGTACGAGCATGTCCTTCCACTGTAAACAAAAATTAAAAAAATGGCAGAACTGTAAAAATGAGATCGGCATGAGTTACACATGATGAAACCTTCCGCTTTGGCCAGTTGGTGGCATCCCTACTGAGTAGCCTGTCTTATGAGGACAACCAGTGTTTCTTTTTAATCCCGAAAAGGAACCCTGATCTCCCCAAAGGACATGCAAGACCATGCAAGACCCCCCCCCCCCTAAGCAAGTCATTACTAACTCCTTTAAACTGCTTTCCCTCCACCATGTCTTCAAATGTATTTGTTTGTCTGGAAAAGGTTCTGTGGTCTTTCAACTGGAAGTTTTACAAGATAAACCGCTCACAAAATCAGGAAAAAGCCTCGACACTTTAAAATGACATGCAGCTGTTCAACAGACTGTAATAGCCTACTGAGTAGCTACATGGATCATCTGGCTGAAAGATGCCGTGGAAGGCCCTGATATCTGTGTGCAGTAGACTGGGCCAGAGCCGTAGACAGACGGGGTGTGGCCAATGCAGGTTTTATTGGCACCTCTTGCTGCACAAGCTTCTCAATGAACCCAGTTGTTCAGACTGTAAAACTTGATGGCACATTTTTACGGTAATCATATGGAGAGCACCGTTTTTAGACCCTTTTCCCCTCTGTGATATCCCTTTTAATTAAGTAAGAGTGAAACTAAGCAATGTGGCAACAGTTAGAGATGACTAAGTGTGCTTTCTTTTAAACTACACACAAGAGCACTCGCATTCACTGGTTTGTGAAGTTGAGGGGGTAAAAGAGGCAGAAAGGGCTGATGGCAATGTACTCCTGATTCCCCTGAATGAAGCTCAGGAGCTGCTATCTGTGTCGTAAAAATGTCATTACAGATATTCACAATAGGCATTATGACTCAGATATCTTTTATTCGTTGTAGAATTATGCCTAGAAGCAACGCAATTGCAGATACATAAAAAAGATAATAATATTCCAAAATGGCTCATTTCAATAATGACTATAGTAAGAATGGATTGTCGATATCCGAAATGGGAGTTTCTCCTCTGACTTATATTGCAGATATCCAGAATGTTCATTCCAGAAAAGAGTCTGTAAAGAGGGCACTTCTACTAAGAAAAGTCCCTATTTGTTCATTTAAATCTTGTCTTCTCTGTGTATTTGACAGGGACCATGCCAACATCAGATAAGCAATGCAACAGATGTATTGTTTATATGGTGGTTGTGGTTATCCATCTAGAGTAGCTTTTAGTTTTGTTACTCTGCATCACCTATAAAGGGTCTTGACTAATTTGACAGACAAATCATTTGTAAGTTTCTTTGATTACTAATTAAACTATTTATCATTGTAAGTATGGTGCAACAGTAGTTTATAGCATTGCATGTTACAGTAGCAATCCATCAAAATGACCTCCAGTAGCTTTGACTCATGCATACGTATGTATAAGTGTTTGCAGAAATGTGTGTATGAACTAGTGTGTTACTGATACAGTAACATACTGTATGTTACTGTATACTGTACTGTATACAGTATGTTACTGTGAATAAGCTCATTGCTAATGGGACATAGAGGTCATTCATTATCCTGAACGACCTCCATCTCTCCATTAGGTTAAACTGGAAATAGTGCTCGACACTGACAGGAGTGTATGAACGACTCCTCTTCTCTAATCTATATGATGACACACTCATAGATTAGATTGATATGATTGAAAGAGGGTGTGTGTGTGTGTGTGTGTGTGTGTGTGTGTGTGTGTGTGTGTGTG